ATGATCGGATTTATTGCAGGGTCCATCCTAGTACGCATCTAGCCGTTTTTTGGGCTTTGTGTGAGTAATCCGATGATCGGATTTATTGCAGGGTCCACATTTGATGATCCGGAATTTGGCCGGGAAGAGGACTTGCCATTTTGCCTGGATTTCGTCTAGATGAACGGGACCACACCTAAAGATTTTGTTTAGTGGGCCTAGGGGTTTAGGTGATGCAGTTGCAAACTCCAGAAGCAAAGCTGTTAAGAACCAGGCCTCTTCACTCGTCGGAGGCTGTTTTCCGGAGCAAGGCTTTTCCCAAAAGCTCAGGCCCTTCAGAAAGCTAGGTTTTCTTACTACAGGGATTATAAGGGGGACGATTCTTCATTCCCTCCTGAGCTACCGCTCTTACGAAGTCTGCTCGGCAGCACCCCGAACCAGATTTGTTAAAGGGACCACATCTATAGCAGGCCCACCCCGGTGCCCTGGTCCTGTAGTCATTGCTGCTGCTTCCTTGTTTCTTCAAAGAAGCAATCTGCTTGTAATGGAGATGCTATCAATCACTGATTATTCTTAATTGACTCCAAACATACCGAATGAGCAAAAAGCTTTTTTCGAATCATTCTGGAAGGGGGGAGGCAGGGAGGTTCTCGCTAATCCGATCCTCGTATTAAGCACAGAAATTTTGTGGTTTGAAAGCTCCTTCTCAAGGATTGGTGTGTGATGCGGGGCTTTGCTTTGCGAAAAGAACGAGACATCAAGCAGCGCCGCCTGTCGCTCACGGAACTTCTGCAGGGCTGCCACGTCGTTGCCGGCTTGTCCTGCCTGCAGTGAGCACCATCAGAATCTGAGATTTTTCTCAGGACTGATCAAGACTGGCCAAACCTCTTCGCATCCTGACCAGCTGGACCACCTCGTGACTGTCGGCTGTCACGCCACATGGAGATGTGACCCAGCACGACTCCAGGATGCCGCAAAGACACATGGAGAGCTTGCAGTTTTGCGGTATTTGGCAATCAGCTTCACAATGCTTCGTCTCTTGCCTCGGCACTCGCCACACCCCCTTGCCGGCTCACACCTCCTGGAGGCCCTCTAGCACAGACCTGTTCATGTAAGGGGCGAAAGCACTTGCGCGTCAACCAGAAATCCTTCAACCGTGACCCACATCCACACAGGAGAAACTATGACAATGAACGCAAGGGGGTTGGGGACAACCCGAAGAGGTGTCCTACAGCATTACCTCATGAAGCTGCCCAGTCCGTCGAAGCGATACATACGATGGAACGAGGAAGATGAAAGCCACACGAATGGATTGTTCAGACAATGATTGCAAGAAAGGGGTTGTAAGTAGGTAGATGCAGACTCTCTCTGCTCAGGATTGCTCAGGTGCAAGGCAACCTGCCCAAAATGTCATACTATAACATCAAACGACTACAACCATAATTTTGCAATTGAGCTACAATGCTCCCATGCACGGAGTGCCACATTCGTTGTTCATTGCCTTGCATGGCCCCCGAGCAGCTGACAGTGTGCTCAGCCAGCGAGGCAATGGGAAAACAAGAGCCGCGCCAAGACAGTCCGGTGCCGTTCACATAACCCAACCTCAATGCCATGCGGCCGGATCCACTGGACTTCCGGCTTTTTGTAATCCTCGAAGCATGCCGAGGACGGCTCGCAACTCGGCTGGTTCCACTCGCTCCAGGATCCAAACTCACAGTTCCTGGATTTGTTGCACCGAACTGCAGAAACAACTCAGAAAGTATAGCTGAAATGTTCCGCAAAAGCTTGCACCTTGGCTGACACTTCGGCTGACACTCTGGCGACGGAGGACATGCACTGACCTCAAGATTCCCAACGTGCTGAGCAAGTTGTCACACCACAGGTCCACAGTGAAACGATAATCTGAGAAACATGATTTAAAGGCATATCCGCTGTGCTGCTGGCATTGAGCTGTGTTGCAGAACAGCTCGAAGTCGCCAGACCCTGTGCACAGTTCCAGACTGCACGCTCCATGCCTGAATCATGTGCTCGCCTTGAAGAAGAACTCGGGCCCTGGTGCATCAACAAGCGCCATCACTCGATTCCTGCAAGCCGGGCTGCGTTCAACGCACTGCATTGCGCTTCGAAGTTTGCCGAAACTTCCCGCACTGGAGCGTCGCTGCATGTCGCTGCTCTTTCCAGCTCTGGCCATGGACTGCAAGCTGCCTTGACCTTTGGCTCTAGAACTCTGCCCCTTAACCACCACGCGGCCCTGGCTGCAGGCCGCACCCCGGGCAGGCTCCACTGCGGGTTGCTGGATGTGAGCCGCTTGACGCGAGTGAGATGACTATGACGGGTGACCCTCCAACCATGAAGCCAATGATGCACGGCAGACATTAAGTAGAGCACAGGGCCAATAGGCCTCAAAGGAAACACAAGATTGAAGAACCCTAAAAATTTAAGCGAAACGATGATGACAAACCCTAAATACTCACGGCATGTGACGGATTGCATACGCCCAACAGCAATTTCGAATGGCAAACAAAACAATCACCCCTGAAAGTCAGTGACGGACCCTAAACCCTGAACAACAAGCCCTAAACCCTAGCGGCAAAGTATGGATGCAAAACTGTCAACCCTGAAAACGCACGATGGATGGCGAACCCTAGACCCTCACAAGAAATAATGATGACAATCCCTAAACCCTGAAAAAAGTGATGGATGGCAAACTGATGATGAATGACAGATTTCAAGCCGGCAATCTCTGAAAGTAATGATAAACGGCAAACCCTAGAATGCCCTAGACCCTGAAAAGAATTGATGACGACGAACCCTAAACCCTAGCAGCCAATTGTGGATGCAAAACCCTTGAAAGATATATGATGCATGGCAAGCCCTTGACCGTGAAAGAAGCAATGATGATAAACCCTAAACCGTACGCAGACAGATTGCGGATGGCAAACTGTCAACCGAAAAATGCCTGATAGATGACAAACCCGGAAGCCCAAAAACGATTGACGAATGACGGATGGCAAGCCGGCAAACCCTGAAAGCAAACGATGAACAGGAAAGAACTGATACTAACAAACTCTAAACTCTATCAGCAATCTGTGGGTGCAAAAAACCTTGAGAACACATGATGGATGGCAACCCTAGACCGTGGTGATGACAAACCCTTAACCTGAAGAGTGAAATATTTGGACGGCAGACTCTCAACTCTGAAAGGCAAGGATGGATGGCAAGCCAAAATGCAGAGCAGACCGTAAACCCTAAATAGATTTGATGAAGAGTGCCTCATCGTTATCCAACAATACAGGAGGCATGACAAACCACAACCTTCAAAGCAATTGATGGTGACAGACCCTGCGACGCCGATGCTGGATGGCGAGTCCCAACACCTAACACGAATTGTGGATGGCAAAGTCAAACCCTAAAAGGAGGGATAGTAAACACTCGGAATCAAACAATTTCACGCGATGATGGATGTCATAATAGGGCAGGACGGTTGATAAACCTTGAAGTCTGACAGTTGGTTGGCAAATACTGCACACCCTTAATCATGAACAAAATGATGGGGGACACCCCAATCCTTGACAGGAGATGGTGGATGGCAAATCCTCGGACATGCGTCGTACGTCCTGTCGATGTGTACTTGTGGCATTGAAGGTGGCCTCGAGCCAGTAGCACTCAAGAATAGTCACAGTATTGAAGTCAACACGCAAGCATTTTTCTGATGGTCCATATCAGCCATATCCTTCGGATTGCACCAGCTCGCCGCTGCCAACAGTGAACCCAATGGAACTTCGATTTACGGCCCATACAACGCGGTGACACCATTCCTTACGTCTCACGGTCTATCGAGCCTCGCCGGCTCACGGCTCCTGTGGCGCGAATGTTTTTGAAGTAAAATCGCAGAAATCGTCTCCCACCACAATTCCCAGAGTCCCGTGTCTGCCCGACGAAATCGTCGCTCCCGCAGTGGCACATGCTTGCATGCGCCTCTTGACTCGCGTTGCTACCACAGTTTGGTGTGTGTGTTCTGCGGTGCCAATGAAAATGGTTCTCGTGCGGGGATTGGACGTCTAGGTGCTCTTTCGCTGTTTGGTGTACGTACTTTGATTCGGTCTGAAGGAGATCAACTGCTTAATCTTGAAACATATGGCGGAACATCCCGAACGAGTCACCCAAGGTCCCTGTGGTTGCTGCAAACTGCAACAAGCAGGAACTGGTGAGCATCAAAGATCATCTTCTGATCTTGTAAGATCACACAACAGGCCGCTAGTGCTGGCAAGCTCCGTCTGCGAAGTGTTTTAGAAGCCATTGCCACGTGGGTGAGACATCCCACCCATCTTCCTCAAAAATACGTGTGTTGGGGGAGACACGAGAGTGTCCAACGGCAGGAGAGCCACAGATATGGGACGGGTGACACACTCCCGCACCATCCCACCACTCCCATAATCCTGGAGTGACTGCAAGCAAAGGAGTGATGGGCCGGGGCCACGGGCGGCAAACACATGACCCTGAAAGGGAGTCATAAGGAAGTTCGATCTGGCATGCACTCGATGCTCCTAGCAGCCCTAGCACTTTGCAGTGGACGCGCTCTCCCTGCCCTGCGCGTGGACTTCAAACACACTTAACTTGGACAGGAAGAGCAGCCTCAGCAAATCTAATCAGGTGTCCTGACAACAGCGGAGGCTCCGCATCCTGTATTACAAGAGCTTGTACTCGTCCATGACGACCATGCCTCATCTCATCGTGGGCTATGTGAAGAACTGAGACAGGCCAAGGCATGGCGAACTCGATGTCAATAGAAGCTTTGATCGCTGCACAATACTTGGTCGTTTCGCAATGGCTGCTGCAAGCGGACACTTCTCGCGCACCTTGGATAATAGGACAGCGAACTTGAACATATGATTGTGGGAGCCGTTCAAGCAAAGGCTCTGCGCGGATGACACACTTTCCCGCACTCGTTGGGCATCTTCATGATGGCACGATGGCGGAAGCGCTGGCCCCCACACCTCGCACCGCAAACACTGATATAGCCGCCGCAGGCGCTGAATCTGGCGAGTCTCGTGAGGCCTCGAACAGTCGCCCCAGTCGGACCACGCACCCCATTGGCAGTCCAAGCCTCAGAAGCGAAGCGACATGAAACGATCGCTAGTGAGCGAGCGAGCGAACGAGCAAGCGAGTGAGTGAGTGACGACGGCTTGAAGTTTCAGTCGCAACAACACAAAACGAGACGCGATGACGAATGAAAAGGCCCCAATTAAGCGGCAGGGCGTGTTTGCTTCCGAAATGAACGACCACTAGGCAGGCCCGGCACCTGCACCCACCGAGCAGAGTACTGCTCGGCGGGCCAGTATAAAGGCAAGACAGCTTGCCATCTTCGCGAGAGCTTCGTTTAACTCGGCTCCTTCAGCAGCTTCAGTGTACTAAAACAAGCAAACACCGTCACCTCCGTTCCGGTTAGGGCAGCGCACCAGTCGAGTGCCGGCACCGAACCCTGCCTTAAACCCCAGCTTGCCACGGCTGTTGAAACGGTCGCAACTGCCATTATGTGCACAAGGGCACTGCAAAACACTGTTGGCTAGCTTCGAACTAGGTTCAGCCAGCATTGGTGACTCGGCGACATGGCGTTGGAGATCTAGCTTCATGCTACGTAAGACTAGTTGATCGGTACTCAACTTTAACTGAAGTACGTGTTATACATTGTGGTTCAATGTGTACTGAAGATATTCTGGAAGTTGAGCTGGTGTGGATACATAGGGACACAATGCTCAAATTGAGGAAGCATTACTGTCACCTGGTCAAGCATCAACAAACAACTAATTACCATGTTACACAAATAACTAATTAACATGTTACATAGGTGCTGATATTACATACTCCGCAGAAAACCTAACGGTTTTGGTATCGGTATATGCATATGCTAGTTGAAAACAGTACATGCCCAAGTTGAAACATGTATGCATCCATTGTCTAAATTTCGTCAGCATTCGAACCTAAAGCTTTTCTCAACAGCATTTTGGAGCAAGGTTCAGAAAATCTGGGAGACTGGTCTCCTTGTAGCTTTTGGTTCGTCTTGTTCTGTGTTGTTGCCCGGTTTGTTTGGTGTCTTTGTTTTCTCTGCTTTGTGTGGGTGTCCTTGGTTTCTTTTGTGCACTCCTTTTTCATGTGACGGATTGTTTTTGGATCCGGGATAAGACGCATTAGAAATATCTGTCGCAAATGGCTATCACTAAAAGCTATCACTACTGTAGATCCTTCAAATCTACTGCATTACACACCTCACAGCAGTCTTTCTGATTAGTGATGCGCTTCGAAAACCCCGCAACTTTCAACGAGCTCTCCACGAATCCGAGAGCCGTGCAAACCACGGGCCTGGGTTTTCGCAGAATGTGGGGAATGCGAGCTTCGCGCATGCTTACGGCGTGGTGAGGCGAGGTGGCGCATTTTCTGAGGCGAGCGCTGGCAGAGCTGCGTGTTGCAAGGCGCGGTGACGCTCAGCGAATTGTCGCACGCCTGTGAATTGAGGGCTCATCGAACGACCACCACCTTCAGCGAGGCAAGGGCACACCTTCCCTCCCTTGGCCGGTTCTCGTTGAACCTCACGCCTGCGCTCCTGTCACGTGTGAAGTGCCTTGGAAACTCTCACTGCGTGACACAACAAGGCAGACCTTCTGGCCGCCGCCACAGCTTAAGCTGCACTTTGACCACTCACTCCATTCGCTGAGTTGACAATCCTGGACGGAAATACCGAGCATGCGCCACATGTCCCACCAAGCGACGAATCAAAGAGCTGCCCGCCTGTGGCAGCGGTTCGCCGCAAGCCTGCGATGCCTGGCTCATGCACTTCGTCTTTTCTGTTTTACGACTCTGTAGCCTGGCAGGGGCGTGCTGTACCTTGTTCCGGTGCTCCTTCAAGGAGGCTGTGAACCCTGTCAAACAGTTGCGGGTCGCTTTCGACCGACCCGAGGCCGTCGTAGACAACCATGAGACTCCGATCATCCGGCGTAACAAAGGCTGTACATGACGACACACTGCGTGAACCTGGTGACGATGTGTGTGGCGCGATGAGTGTCCAACACCGTGCAGGCCACACAAGCAGGAGCCTTCCATGAGCTCACATGAGTGGGCAATCCTTCATCTTCTTTGACGGAGCCAGCTCCCAGGCAGCATCGAAGCTGTGAAGGACGGCAGCCGTCTCGCCTCGAAAAGACAGTGAGCAGCACAAAAAACCTACCCGGTGAAGCATGTAAGAGGCCGCATTGTCGGTTCACGAGTGGTTTCAGTAGCCAGGACAAGGTCAAGGAAAGAAAAAGTAGCCTGCTTTCAGCCTCCCTCCGGCCAAACGGGGCCTTTAGCCTGATGTTCTTCTCTAACCCCAGAAACCAACAGAACAGACCGAAAATTGACTATTTCAGCGAGGGTGCCTTCGAGCCACAACTTGACACGAAACTGCAGCTCACCACGACCAGGAAAATCAAGCAGCTGCATCCGGAAATGGCGGCAGTCGCAGCGGCCAGCCACTCTGTCGAGATGCTCTTGGAAAGAAGTGTGCAAGGCATCACAACTCGACGTTTGCAGCAACTGAACCAATGGTGATGCAGTATTCCCTCTGCTCCTAGATGAAGTGTAATCTGCGATAAAGGAGAGCTGAACACGTCTAGCATCCCCGTCAGGTCTGCACCACTTTACGTCCTTGACCTTCGGTTGCCAAACAGCCCCCTCATGGCAAAAGGTCGCCAAGGTCTGGAGATCAGAAATGCTCGCGCGGAAGGCAGGACCGAAACCTTGTGGATGGAGCTCCGCCGCAGTTGGCCTGGTGTCCTTTCTTGTTGCCGAGCCTGTGGAGACCTTCCTGTCTCGTGTACCTCCATTCGGAGCGTTCGGAGCTCGACTCCAGGCTGCGGCGGCTGCGGCATCGGCAAAACCGCCAGTGAAACCGTTTTGCCTTGGGCCGTGCCCGTTCTGCCTTGTACCGGCATGTGGCTGTCTTGCATATCCCTGAGGATGTCCGTGATGCCCATGAGTTTGGGAAGTGGCGTGATGTGCGTCCCATCTAGGACCCGCGGCATGTTCGGCCTGCGGCGCCTGTTGCACCAACATGGCGTCATAAGCTTGCCGCTTCTGTTCATCACACAAAACCTCATATGCATCGGCTGCTTCTTGAAAGCGACGCCGAGCATCTGGTGAGCTACCAGCTTTGTCTGGATGCCACTTCAAAGCAGCCGCACGGAATGCCTTCCGGATATCGGCACAGCTGCAGTGATGAGCTAGTCCAAGGACAGCGTAGTGGTCCAGAATGCCCTCAAATTCTGCTGTCATTACGAAGTGGCTTCATTACAGCCTGATGCTCAAAAGGCTGCGAAGAACTAAACACCACGGCGCCGGTTCTATTGACGGTCATGCTGTTGCGCACATTAGTTACAATCACACTTAGACAATCGCGGGCATGCCAAATTCGACGTACTGGAACTCGGGTTTGTGACACTGCGCTGGCTGGACTTTATTGCAGCGGCAAGAAGAGCCTAAAACAACAGCTTCAGTTTCGGACCGAGATTAGGTGGAAGGTGGATGTTCGGGGGCCTGGAGTGCTTGAGACGGTGCTCACTTGAATTTCTATTGTGGCCCTGGCATTGTACGATTGGAGAAAGTACTTGGTTATAGACTTATAGATTTGGGCCACCATCTACTGCTTCCACTGGAAATGAAACTGCCCTCGATCACAGCCATACAGACAAATAGACCCAAACCAGGCTCAGCAGAACAGCGAAGAGAGGGCGCACGGGATCATCATCATCGTCGTTGCAGGCTTCTATAACCTTCAGCGCAAGCCCATCACATGGCCTCGGTGCCGAAACAACGTTCGATCCTTGACCGGTTTCTGATCGCTACATGATGTTCCTGAGGGGCTGGCTTTCCATTCCCTGAGGCAAAGTCCTTGATGTTGCGGGTTCGTTCCCGGATTCCAAAGCAGGAACCTTGGCCAAGCGCTTCTCCTTCACGATGAGAAGCACGTCGCGTCACTGCTGAGATCCCTAGGCTTGCAGCAGCTGCACTTTGACCAGCTGGCCCACATCGTAAGTTGGCAATCCCGGTCACTGACCTCGGAAGTTACAACTCGGGGTATCCAAGTCACATTCACCGTCGCAGGAAATAGTCACTGGGTATCCGACGCAAGGCTGCGCAGCGGTGCAGCTTTCGAATTGCTCACGAAGTCCACCAACTGGCAACCCACAATGGTTGGCCTCGACCTACACAAGCTGGCTCAGACGAGACATGGCAGTGCGGAACTTGTGACCAGAGCCTCAATCAGACGAGAACGTGAGCGATAGCCCTCAGAGCATGACGCAGAGCACTTGGACCACTCCTGGAACTGCGCAAGATTTGACCAGGGAGTGCCGCACTCACACTCCCGACCCAGTCCTGCCACGGTGCCCAAACTGCATCAACCTCGGAAAAAACTCGAAAGTGGCCTGGTGGGATGCTGTACACAGTTATCCATGGCTAGGTTCCCAACACACCCTCGATCACAAAGATGGGTGTTGCAGGGCGAGATCTGCAACCAATACGCTGCATGCAACTGTGGGCACTCAGATTGCACCTCACTTTTGAATCTCTGCACCTCGCTTTTGACTTCTGGCGGGCAAAGCTTACCGCCATGTCGAGGGGATACAGCGATGACACGGTTGCCTGCATGAACCATGCACCGCCTCACCCTCACTGCCTCCGCACTGTCAGCACTCCACTTGTACTTGCGGGCATCGAACACAGTTAAGCATGCTGGGAGTGCGCTTTTTCACACCTCCCCCGCAGGTGCAGGAGCCTGGCATGTTCTCGCAAGGCAACTTCTTCCCCCAAAGCACGTCTCGGTCTGGGACACCGGCAGTCCGACCACTCTTCCCAGTCACTCCATCGGCAGTCCTGCTGATGGCATTGTGTGTCCTGCATGTAGGCCAGCATGTGCCCGGTCGACTCGCAATACAGGAAGAGGCATCCATGTACGGGGCCTCGCAAGGGAAGAGCTCCGACATTGGCCCTTCACAGCCTCTTCCTCTACTCGTAGCAGGTCGCGTCCTTGAGGATTCCATGAAGGATCACGCCACGCAAGAATCCACAGCAGCACCCTCGGGCCCCGACACCCTGCGCACCCGATGTTTTTGGCCTTTTCCGCACTGGGCCGAACAGGAAGTCCAATCCTTAGCAACAACGACATCCCAAGTTCAGGTGAAGAGCTGCTGCAAACATCTGCGAGGCACAGGCATCCCACTCGCCCAGGATGCAGTCGTGCTCCTGACGTTGGCACGAAGTTCACTCGAAACTATGTCTGCCGAACAGTCCTAAAAATCACTAATCATTCGAACAAAGAGCGGAGTTTGCAGGACTTGGTTCTGTCCTTCGGATTGTAGCATGGTGCCGTGTTGCACTGGATGCTCTCCTTCATTGCATACGCCCCCAAAGAGTTTCGCAGCGATATGTGGGATTCGCCAGGACGTGCCAGACCCTGCCTTCATCACACTTGCTGGACAAAAGCCCTTGGCGCTGCTGGGCTGGTTCAGCTGCCGCTCACGGTATGACTGACCTGATAGAAAGGCAATGGACATCCAGCATGCAGACATGCACTGAACAGCTTAGACTTTGACCACCATCGCACGTTTTGTCGCAAGCTGTCCATGGCGTCCATTCCTTTGCAGTCCGGAGGTCGAAAGATGCTTCAAGTAACACTGGATCTGGGTAGCGGTCTGTCAGGGAGCAGTTCTGTGGCGGTGCAGCAGGACACCCGGCCGTCACCACCAACTCTGTGGGACAGACAAGGCCTCCTCCGGCTGGCATTTGCTGAACCTTGGATAAAAGAAGCCTGGCCCCTCCGCTTCATCGCTCCGAAATCCTCAGGTCAACACTGTCCGTCTCCGAAGGCGTTGTGTTTGTCCCTCCTGCTGCAGACTCTGCTGCAGACTACGGGTACAACAGAAGTACGCCTCAGCAAGGCAGACCGACTCCTCTGCACAGTCGCTCCACGATGACCTGATCAGCAGAACAGGCATCCAAAGTGACCCCACTAATTTTCTAAACGATCCAAAGGAATCCTTCATAATGTTTTTCCTTCACAGGCATCGGCCATGTGGTGACGCGGCAGTCGCTGCGACCACAGGGAGGCAGAGAACAGGGCACCGTCTGGCAGTGGCAGACAAGCAGTGATAAGCAATCTACTATTCTTCTTGAGGCGCTTGAATGCTGGGAGGCCTCTAACAAAACGCCCACACAAATCTCGCCACCATGCAGCGCCTCCTGCAGCAAGTTGGTGATAATCGAAACATGTCGAGTCCACAAATCATCCACGGACGTGTGCGTCCTGATCAATCCTCCGCAGCCGGGTATGACGGCCTTCCCCACAAGTAGAGCTGCAAGTGGTCCATTCCTTCGAAGAAGCGATGGTAGCGCTTGAAGGCTCCGAGACGCTCCGAGAGGCTCCGAGAGGCTCCGAGAGGCTCCGAGAGGCTCCGAGGCTCCCACCCGCCATGGGCTGAACTGGCATGCGGTTGGCTGCTTGCTCGCTCCACAGGGCCTGCAAAGGAAATTGGGCCGGGCCCTGCTGTTTCGGCCATGATGTGTTCGCAAAGCGCACAGGCCTTGTTTCCTTGGTAGGACCCTCACACGGTCTACCTGTGCAAGAGAATGACTCTGCCCAGGCATCGCAAGCTGAAGGCCCAGGCACACAATGGCACACGCGCATGCAAGCTTAAGGACATCTCGACACCTAGGCATGGGCTCTAAGCGGGCCATGAAATTTCGCAGGTTAAAACACAGCCTGTGTCAGTTGGCTGCTGGACGATGGATCTTGATCTTACAGACTGGTCCGCTGAGCTGTGGCATAGAGTCCATTCTGACCTTGTTGGGCTTCTTTGGACTTGACGAAATTGCTGACGAGCACCAAAGTCATCGAGCACCCGACCATACACCGAACATGCAGTCGGTGACCTGCAGAACAATGACCCTGACAAATGCCATCTGCTGCTCTGTGCATTCACCAAAGTGCTGTTTGTGCGATCGTTCGATGTCTAAGTCGTGCCTGGCCTTCTTGACACACTTGTCTTGGACGAAGGATTCCGATTCCAACAGGGCTCCACTGCACGGCTCGCCACACCTGGCAGCTCCGATCAAATGCAGGTCCGACATGCCTGACAGGGGCTTGCAATCAGGTCGACATGCCGACATGCCAGTAAGACTCATTGTTGGAGGCGGCTTTCGACCTTTCCCGGAACTTCAAGCCAATACCTTGGGTGTGCCAGGATTCACTCGGCAGACCCAGGAACTGATGAATCCAACCTGCTCGATTCACTTATCGGAATTTCACGAAACAGGTTTGACGCAGGTAGGCCAGGGACATCCGCCCGCATCATACCAGGAATTCCATGGAGAGAAAACGCAGTCTTGTGGCTGACATACCGAGCAAGCCTTGCAACAGGCAGAACTCCATACTCATGAGAATCTCGATAGGAATTGGGCTGTCGACTGGCAGTTCCTCACACCCGCCCACCTTGCAAGACACAGTGGCCATGCAGCTATGGATGGATGCAAAAGTATCTGTCGTGCAAAAGCCAACGCCGAATGCAGGTCACGAACCCTGGTCCCCACTGGGCTTCAAACCTCTTCATCGTATCCTTGACAGGAGTGGTGTGCGAGTCGTCGAACGGGAGCCTTGGATCAAAGCAAAGCAGAACTGGTGCAACTGCTGTATCCAACACCGCATGGCTCGGGGCAGAACTGCACTCTCTAAGGCGTGGAAGTTCACTGCCGAGAGCAGCGGGATCAGGCTTCGAGCCAGCATTTCCCAGACATGCTCTTCCGTCCCGACTGCCCGGCAGCTTTGAGCCCGTTCGGCTGCATAGCACTAGCAATCCACAGGCGTTTGAACACTCCAGCAGAGCTGATCCTGCGCAAACTACAAAACTGCACAGTTTAGCTTTTTTTGTCCAGTCCAGCTTCCATGGATTGCTTTGCATATCCGCCTCATCCTTGTGTTGCAGGCTGCTGCCGGAAACAATGGAATGCTCCGGCTCCGAGCTCTAGAAGCCGTAGAAGTCGAAGTCCCGATCCTTCTTCTTCGCGTGGTCCTTCCAACCTGCTTCAAAGTCCTTCGGCAGGATGACGTAACGATTGTGTCGAACAGCCTGCATCCCCGCCTCCTGACAAATCGCTGCAATATCAGCACAGCTGATTTTCTCGGGCCTTGAGACGTAGTCTTCCAAGTCGACCTCCTCGCTCAAGTTCATCTTCGCTGTGATCGTCTGGAAGATCAACCGCTTCTGACGCCTGTCTGGTAAAGGGAACTCGATCTTCCGGTCCAAACGCCCCGGCCGCAAAAGCGCCGGGTCCAGCGTGTCTGCGCGATTCGTGGCCATAATGACCTTCACGGTCGTGTCCTGATCGAAACCATCCATCTGGTTCAATAGCTCAAGCAAGATACGCTGGACCTCACGATCGGCGCCTGTTTGTGAATCGAAGCGCTTGGTGCCGATAGCATCTATCTCATCGATGAAAACAATGGAGGGCGCATTCTCACGTGCTAGGCGGAATACATCTCGAACCATGCGAGGGCCTTCACCCAGGTATTTCTGAACAAATTCGGAACCAACCATGCGGATGAATGTGGCTGTAGTTTGGTTTGCCACCGCTTTTGCAAGCATGGTCTTGCCGGTGCCTGGCGGACCATATAAGAGCACACCACTGGGAGGGTCGATCCCGATTTGAGCATAAAGCTCCTTGTGGGTCAATGGCAGCTCCACAGCCTCTTTGATTTCCTGCTTTTGGATGTCCATGCCACCAATGTCTGCGTATGTGACATCAGGCTTCTCTGACATAGCCATACTCTGGACAGTGCTATCGGCTTCCGGTGGCAGAATGTCAACCACAGCATGCGAATGCCGGTGCAAAGCCACTGAGCTGCTCGGCTTCAGCAGCTCGCGGTTGAGCGTGCTCAAAATGCGGACATAGTAATTGGAGCCCGCAGTTGAAGAGACTATGCCGTGGCTTTGGTCAATCATTTCCGAGAACTGACCTATGACCAACGGAACAGACTGGACACGCTTGATTTCCACCTGTGCACGGATCATCTCGCGCTTGAGATTCTTCATCTCATCTTTGATGTACTCTTCTTGGATGTCAAGGAACTCCATCTGGCGTTTCAACTCTTTCAGGCGCATATACAAGTCATCCTCGGCTTTGGATGTCAAGTCCGTTTGCTGCACCATTGCAGCCGTCAGTTTGCACCTACACCAACGGCAGTCCCTTCCGAATTGGTCTTTTTTGCTCCGAGCCCATCTTCACAATCGATTTCGTGAACATGCGCGGATGCAAACTAGACGAATCTAGGGTTGTCAGCGACAACTTGCCACGAAAATGAAAACATGATTCTTCAAGCATGTAACCCCTGTATGCCGCTGTAGCCTGTGCACAGTTCAGTCAAAGGTATGCCTGTGGTTCCAGAATTAGTTCAAGTACTTTTGTTGTTCTTTTCCGGTATTTTTTGTCTTCCTTTCTTTCAAGCAAACTCTAGCTTTGGAAGATTCTAATTTTAGGGTTTGCCTGTGCGTGGAGCCATTGTCAAGCGCTACTTTTAAGGGTTTGCCTGTGCATGAAGCTATTGGGGGATTTTATTGCTGCTGGTGCTGGTGCTTGTGGTGCTGCTTCTGCTGCCGCGGTGGTGCTGCTTGTCGTGCCGCAACTGTTGCTGCTGCTGGTGCTCATATATCTTTACCTTTATAAAACCGCCCTCTCATTTGGCGATTCCGGATCATAATATTTCTGAAATACGCCCTTCAATTGGCGATTCCGTATCATCGAATATCTTAAACTGCCCTATCATGTGGCGATTCCGGCTCAACATATGTCTTAAACACACCCGCTCATTTGGCGATTCCGTTTGGATCATATATCTTCCGCTGCCCTCTCATTTGGCGATTCCGGCTCAAGGTATATCTTAAACACGCCCTTTCATCTGGCGATTCCGGTTCAACATAAATCCGAATCACGCCCCCTCATTTGGCGATTCACGCCCCATCATGTGGCGATGCCGTTGCTTCATATATCTTAATCTGCTTCGTCGTTCATATATTTGCTACCCCCCCCTCATGTGCCTACCTTTGGTGTGT